CCACACACACACACACACACACACACACACACACAAGACTGCTGGGGTCTTAATTGGAAGAAAACTGTCTGTTTATATTTTTACAGAACCACACATCCTGGTTAACCTAACTGAATGATAAAAATTAGGTCAGAAAGAAACTGTTACATAAGAGGTCAGTTGCCTCCTTCCCCTCTCCTGACTTGCCCCTTCTGTAGGTCTTCTGGTCACTCTGATATGTACTTACCACAGGTCAGCAAAGCAAGGCCTTTCACTGAGACAACCATCCAGCAGTCATTGGTTTCTGCCCTTGGGATCAGAGACAGCTACAGTGTACGTCAATTTGCAGGATAACCAAATATGACAAGGGGCTCATCTGCTTCACAATAGCTACAGCCAGGTGTTGAATTCTCAGAAAATCCCACTCAAATAAGGGCTAAAATATTCAAATGTCACCCCTTCCCTGTACCAGTCTTACCCACAGTGAAAACAAGTGAGTGCTTGACGTCAGGCCTCCAGGAGACATCAACATTGCACACCTGAGTGACCCTACCGGTTCAGGTCCAGTGCCTTCTTTTCAGCTTGGTGATTGTGAACATTTACAGATGTGTTGCAGTGTTGAACAAGAGGCATAGACAACCACTGAACACTTTATTATTTCACTCAGATAGAGACATGTATTGGTATGGTATTATATTGAATGCTATACATTATCATTAATACATTTTCTGTTCACAGACCTACAGTATGGACTTGTCACGTTTCAACAAACAAACACTACTCAGTTATCATTGAAAATATTTATTTCTGAACTATTCCTTGTAGGCCACCTTGATTACATTTTATAACCATGTCCTTTATCTCCCACTTTAAATACATATGGCACAATTTACCAAGGTCAGATCATTGTAATTTATATTATATACCTTATCATATTTTGCCCAACCCCCAAATTCTGCAACATACAGGCTCATTTCAGAATCAGTCCAATGTGTCACATGGTCCCACTCAACCACTAACGCTGTTCACTACATAATTAGTGACCATTAGCAGTTTTGCTAAATACTGATGAATAACATCTTGTTCAACCAATAAATACTTTAACAGCAATGACATTTTCACAAAGAGATATCTCTCAAAAATACATTTTAAGAAAAACTTCTAGGAGAAAGAATAAAACCAGTAGATGCTCAGAGAGGTTATAGCCTCCTTCCGAGTATGTCCCACCAGCCAGATATCTTTAATAAAGTAGGCTTACATCACACCAGTGGTATTTTCATCTTTTTTCTTTTTGATTCAGAAAGACATGAATTAAAAACTTACATAAACTGCAAATTGTTGGTGCCATTATTGCACATGTCCTGCTGTTGTAAGGCTAAAAAGATGGAATGTTCCCAAGTTCAAGTCACCCTTGCCTGTAAGTACTGGTTAACTTTTATCAAAGGCATACACTGTAATCATCCTATTAACTTCCTCCCATAGTAAAAACAATGTACTTATGTTTAATACATACAAGCTGGATGACTCTTGTTTACCCCACACCATAAAACCCTAATTATTAAACAGAGCAAACAATTTTTCTCAAAATTAGAGGTATGTGGGGACATTACAATTACATGTATGTGCTATTTCTCTACCTATTGTTTTACATTAACTTACACAGACTGGTGTCTTTTTTGCCAGCAATAATATCATCTTGGTATATGGTTCACATAAAAATATACTTTCTGCTGCTATAACCTATCTTTGAAGAGATTCCATAAGAATTATTATACATTGAAAATGACACTAGGAAGACCAGTTTGTATTTGACAAATGATATATTATTGCATGTCATCTTCCAGAAAATGTTAATGTTCTGAAATGTTTTTATCACAAGAACAAAATAAATTGTCTGAAGTTCTACAACAAGTAAAAAATAAACTTTTTTAATATCACATATTAAAGCATTCCATAAAACATTAACCCTTTCATATCCATCAGTTCATGAACAGTAATGGTTCAATCTTTTCAATGGGGAAAATTATCAGTCTTTCAGATGAATCATTAAAAATCGTATTCTGTATAGCATTTGTGGTGCTTTAAACCATATATTATAAAAGCTATGGGGTAGCCTGCTTATTCATTTTGTTGCCACCTCTCAACAGAAATGTTGTAATTAAAAAAATATTAATTATAAAAAATACAGTATCTGTAAAATACACAATTTCCCCATTGAAAAGATTGAGTTATTACAGTAACAATAATATTTCACAGACTGAATAAAATTTGAGAGCACTCACACAAATAATGACTCCCAGTCTAGTACACCATTGTTTAATACTAAAACCACCTCTATGAGATTATTTAATAATAACAATAATTAAAACCATTATCACAAACATCACAGTGGCCCTCCCATCAGCAGAGAAAATTTCACCAAAGGCTATTACTAATCTTTTCCCCACCACAATGAATGGATTTTGATTATTTTTTGGGGGAATATATTTGGTTAAGAAAACATATCCATTGGATATATCCAGCCCAGAAAGTCCAATATTCATAAAATTTCATAGTATCTAGTAAACTACTCAGTTATCATTGTACTTGCAATGAAACATGGACATCACTGGTTTCCCGCACATTTTGTTCAGCTTCTCTTGTAACGTCACCAACAGGAGGCCAGTGCGGGTTGTCTGATAGCTCTTTTCCAATAATCTTGTATTTTTTCTTTGGTTTTGAAAGTTTTCCAAAGCATTTCTTCAAACAACTGGAGGGGATATTCCTGTCTATTATGAAGCTCTGAAGAGAGACATAAATAAATGATAAATAAATGATAAAATGATTTATGAGGCATGCAGGTAGTTTGGTTACCATGGAAATGAGCAGAGTTATATAACAACTCAACGGGAAAACTATTTTGATGTGTCATGACTAGTGATGTTAATGGCATGTTAAGTCTTAACATTAAAAATACACTGGTTTCTTGAGAAAGAAAACTGTTTTATGAAGATTCTCAAATCTGATGCTCAAAGGCGCAACAAACTCTCTCTGACTGATTCGTTTTATTTGCTATGTTGTTCCTCTCAACTATCTCTGTCAATATAAAACAGAAAAACTCACTTCTATACTCTCAGCTATCACAAAGTGCATCACTGCAAGAAGAACCACTGTTATCTTGAAAACAATATATTCATCAGGAATCAACTTCATCTGAAAATAGATCAGAGTTAGAAAGTTATAACTCAACTTATTCATTATTTTCTATTTTCCATTGCTTTTGTTAATTTTTCATCACAAAATGAAAGACACCTCCTCCTGGCATTGAGTAGAATAGAGAAATGCCAGCGATAGTATAAGTGTAATGGAAGAAAGAGAAGGCATAATAATTAATAAAACTGCATATAGTGAGAGTCCATGCAGAATTGGATTGATCTATGTAGAACAATAGTTTCAATGAGAACGAGCCATTGTCTTCATGTAATACAGAACATCTTACCATTAGGAATTCTCTGATGACAGTGGGAGGGTAGAGCCACAACCATGCAGTCAATGCTGTAAGCAATATCACAGACACCAGAAACAAAACTGAAAAGAGAAATTTACCAAAAACTTCCATTAATTATTCATATAAAATCTTATTTTTAGAGGTATTTAAAACTTTTTATTCTTTTATATATATATATATATATATATATATATATATATATATATATATATATATATATATATATATATATATATATATATATATATATATATTACTTCATTAAAAGTTGCTGACAGGAAAAAACTTCACTGATATAAACCATAACATACATAATACACAACCTTCAAACACAGACAGCTACACATAAGATATATTAGATTTACAGTTATAAATACAGATATAAAATATTTACAACGAGGTATATGTACAACAGAAAGAAAGTTGCAGTATGTAGTAGATAAATAATGAATCAGTCAACTATTCCAACTCACCATTTGTCCAAATTCTCTTTCTATATGGAGGACCTTTAGAGAAAATCACAGAGAGGATAAGGTACTGGAAGGATCCCGAAATGAACAATGTGGTCGTTTCTGGACATACAACATTATGCTCATCATCATTTATTATTGGGTGTAGTTTCTCTGCACTGAAAGTATAGAGTTAGCAAGCTTCAAAACACTTTTAATAAAATCTCATCTGTACAAAAGTAATGCTAATAATTAACCAAGGAAAGTCTTTAAAATGTGATGATTTGGGTGATGGGGTAATAGCTTATTATCTCCAGAAGCACCTTAGAAATGAAAATTCAGTCCAGATCACCTGCTGCTTATAACATACACAAGGGTCACACATCAATGTAACCAATGAGCTAGTGAATGTGGCTACTCTTGCCTTAGGGCCAAAGAAACTATCATTCTAGGCAGATCTATTCAATGCTATGGGGACTCTAGCTGAATGTAATCAGATTAACATACCTCCTTTTGTTTCCAACATACTTATATCATATAATCACCAGTTTTTCTGTGTTCTACCTATTGCAGGAGGCATATCATTCAGTTAAACTGACTGCATTCAGCAAGAGTCCATGCAGAGTTGGATCTACATAGAATGATGGTTTTACTGAGAATGAGTACTTAGAATGCCTTCTGGTTCTAAAACTGTCTATAAGGTTAAGAAGGAATGTTATCCCATTAATAGAGGGTGTACACTTACGGATACCAAGACTGGGAAGTTAAATAGAAGAATGCTCCGAGCTGGAAGGTCACCACACCCACAGTCTGTGACAATATGGAGAACAGATTGGACACGCTGACCAGACTGCCTTTGGGTGGACGCGGGACCAGTTTATGATAGGCGCTGGTGTGCCCCACTGAAAACAGTATTATAATATCTTAAAATATCAAAATAATGTTTATACATGGCAGGGTTTAGCTAGCTTATATTAGGAAAATGCTCATGGGATTTTGGCAGGAATCAATACAAATAAATATTTTCTGTACCAATGACAATTCTTGTTAATTTTGTTCTTCATCATTTTGTTTCATACTCGTGAAGTTAATATTTCTTCTTTTTGCCTTTTTTTTTTATTAATCTCCTTTTTTTCTTTTTTACATTTTAATTTAAAATGCATTATCACACTGATGACCTGTTCCTCAGCAGACATTATCATTACAGCTATTAATCAATTATGTGGACTGTAAGAGTGAATAACTCATTTCAATAATAACACAAGGAACAACAAGTTATTTTCCCCACCAACCCAAAATACTTTTCTGCAAATTATTCTTAATATTTTGTTCAAATAAGTTTCCTCAATTTTCTCAGACAAACCAGCTCACTAAAAGTCACTTACTGAGTACTGCCACTGTGGTTGTAATGACTAGGTCAATGTAAAGAAACATCATGTCAGATAAATTGGTGTCAAGCTGAAAAATACAAATACACGACACATTAATATCTAATTTAATCATAGATTCTCTGCTCTTTGATGAAATATTTGGAATATATAATGAGGACAAAACAGAACATATTTTTAAGCTTGACAAAAGATCACTTTAAATCAAAGTTTAAGAACATTTACTTTTTCTTCTTCTTTTCATATAACCCCTTGCTATTTCATTTATACATTCAATTTCTAACGGTGTAAAATAATGAAATAAATACCAAATTGTAATTATTATGAAAACCAAATGTAGGTCTACATAATCAGTGGCTCTGAAAGCTAGTGATAAATTTTCTATGATATGACATTGTATCCAAATGCCCAAAATTATGTAAAGATTTCCAAGTTTTCTTTTATTTACCGTGTACAGTATCATCACAGTCACAAACTGTATCATGCTGTATAGTGCCATGTACTTGAACACTCCAAATGAGGTCACAAGGGCAGCCCGACCTTCTCTGTAAGAATAAGACATTCATGTGAGGTTCATAGACATTCAGATATTCATTTGATATTTACAAGTTTGTTTCTTGGTGAGAGACTCTTGATCAATGATGATGGCCAGTTGATGTCATTTTGGTAAATAAGGGCGTATTCCCAGACATTTAGATCGATCTATCCCCGTGGGGAGTCTCACTAGATTACTGTCAGATAATCCGGCTTTAATGTCCGTCCTGCCTACTTCAAGCTGTAAGGGGGTAATTAACTTTCGTGCCCGTTCGGCTGACAGCTATTTAGCGTGAACCCCCAGGGAGTTAGGTCAATCTAGTTTGGATCGATCTAATCTCTGGGAATGGGGTCTTAGACTAGTTTTATGCCAGGTGTATGTTATTGTAAGGGTCTGAAAGCCATAAAGATTGATACCACTGTGATCATGTATCATAACACTATCTTTCCAAGACTTATTCTCACACACACACATTAAAACCCCTCAAAAAGACCTCAACATTCAATGTTTGGTGTCTTAGAGGTAAAGGGAGAGACTCACCTTATCACAGTGGGCACACACTCAATGTTTGGTGTCTTAGAGGTGAAGGGAGAGACTTACCTTATCACAGTGGGCACACACTCAATGTTTGGTGTCTTAGAGGTGAAGGGAGAGACTCACCTTATCACAGTGGGCACACACTCAATGTTTGGTGTCTTAGAGG